CGGTTTTCTGCTCTTCTTACGACTATCCACAAGCTTAAACGCAATGAGACCAGCACCCCCAATTTGTCTACCCTTCACAGAGGCCATTTGCTGATGAGACACTAAACGTGGAAGAACATCTCTCAACCTGTGGGCCATAACTTTGCTTACCAATTTATTAAAGCTCCCCATTAAGCTGATCGGTCGAAGATCACGAGTGTCCTCAACAACATCCTCCTTTGGAGTCAAACAAATGAAGGAATGAGTAATACAGTTAGGGAGAAAACCAGTTCTGTAGAAATCATTGAAGGCGAGCAAGAATTCACTCTTAATCCAAGGCCAACACTTCTTATAGAACTCCCAAGTGAAACCATCCGGGCCCGGGGCCTTCCCTCCATCACTGTCGATAATGCTAGCCCAAATTTCCATCTCCGTAAATGGTCTGCAGATAGCTTGCTGATCCAAGGAGGATAGACACTGCAAAAGATAAATGCGAGGGAAGGGCCTAGACACAACCTGCTCGCTTAAGAGCTCTTCATAGTAGCCAACAATCCCTCTAGCAACATTCTCCCGACGTTCCTTCAAGACGCCATTAATTTTGATGCTACCAATATGGTTGATCTTTCTCTTGAAATTATCCATCCTATGGAAATAACCCAAATTTTTGTCTCCTTTTTTAAGTCACAGCTCACGAGACTTCTGTCTCCAAGAAATTTCCAGCAAATCCAGCACCTTACCGATTTCAATCAAGAGAGATTCCCTTAAGACGGCTTCATGGGAAGAGAGGGGCTGAGCTTCTTCCCTGATATTAATAGCCTGAATCATATTTCTCGGTTCCTCAACCTTCTTATTCCGGTCCCCAAACACTTCTTTGTTCCAGCATTTGATCTTATTTTTCAGCTCCTGAAGACGACGCGCCCACTTTATTTTTATAAATACAACTAGCGTGGGCCCTGACCATTTGGTCGAAGGAAGGTGAGGTATGAAATTTGATAATATAATGGGGTGTATAGCTTATTGTTGTATAGTTTTTTTTTTGGGAAACACGTGGTAAAAATAGTGAATTTTATAGGAAAGAGACATGAATGATGCAATGAATCAAAAATCATCCTTATGAACCAAAATCAAGTACATGTTACCTTGTGAAACAATATTGTTTATGGTAATATGATGAGGTGGAGTATGTTTTATAGAAACCGAATTCCAGAAAATTGAATAAAAAATCGCCTATCCCGCTGGTTTTCGGGAAATGAGCATCTCACAATCGTTGCTAGCTTTTACTCAGCCCATTGGCCGATTAATTTGCTTTATAAAACTTTCATCTTGTCATCATTGTGTTTTCTGGTTTTTTGCCAAGCCATGATAAAATCTAAAGAAATCAAGAATGAACAACACGATTTGGGATAGGAACCACCGTTCTTGTATCCCTAGAAAATGGTGGTAAACATGGACTCACCTGCCAAACTGGTTTGGCTTGAGATTTTTATCGAGTATCAGGGAACCATGTGATTATAAATTAGACTTGATCAAAATGGGCCAAAACTTGAAATTCAGCCTGTTTACCGACCCATGCCAAACTCTAATTATTCTTTACTTATAAACCTTTTATTTGAAAATAAAAAATAATGAAAGAAAAGAGATGATTGCAATTCGCCATTTGCACATCACTGATTCGGGAATAAAACTATAGAATTTCGAAAGGAAACTGAAAATGTTTAAGATCGTTTAAATGTTATAAATAACCAAATAGATCTTTCTGTTTAGTTTTTTACTAACAAATACAAAACGATTCCCTATAATATACACTATAATTTAATCATTATGACATCAAATAATTACATAATATATATTTGAAATTATAAAAATTGGACTAATTGGGTTGGTCGAGGTTGAACCATTGAATAACTTTAAAATACATTATATTTTAGCCACTAAGATATAAAATAATAGCATAATATATATTATGCTAGAGAAAATAGCTTGTTTTAGAATGACAAACTCATGATGTTCATTTGTTTTACTTGATGGGCAAATCCCGTGTAGGTAAGACCTATTCAACTCTTTTATTTTATGATTAGCGGTTAGCTCATTAGAATCCACGCATTAGTTTATTGTTAAATTTTTTTATTTTTAGCAATAAAAAGGAGTATTGTTTTTGTCTTTTCATATATATTTTACCACCACGGAGAAATAAAAGGACTTAAAGAAAAAAAATTGACACTCCTGGACCCGTTTAAATCCGCATGTGTACGGTAAGTTGACCCGTTCCACAAAGGAAACAGAAAAAAATTGACACTCCCTATTCTACCCTTCCTACAAACGCTCATGGAGGAGGGAATTTGAAATGGGGGAAATGTTTTTTCTTCTCTGCGATTAAATGTTTTTAATTTAAAAAGATACAACAAATGTACTTAGTGTGATTGGTTATGATCTTTGTTTTTCTTTAAAGTGGTCATGGTTCGAACCCTAGTAAGTGTCTTTTTAATGAATAAAAAAAATTAATTGTGAAGATCAAAATGTCCTTACTACTTTCACTCTGAATGCAAGAAATTTGAAATTGGATTTCAAGTTTTTTCATTTGGCTTTTATTTATTGTGTAGACTAGGTGGCATGGTGCGACTTGTCGCCGGGCAGAGATGACCTATGAGCATGTATTATGTAGTCTGTTATAGTGTTTTATTAGTATTATTAGCCTAAAATTAATTTTTTGTTAGCAGTTTTGTTAGTAATATTGACTTGACAATATGATATAGACTGAGAATAAATATATGACGGTCAACATTCAATTTAAAAATTTTGAAAATTTTGGCTAATAAATGATATTTACCTAAACCCAAGTAGACTCATTGATTATGGGTAGGGTATGGGTGACGTATATATGGGTTTGGAAGTTTGTAGAAAGGTTTGGGTAGGGTATGAATATTTACTTTTATAATCTAAATGTGTATGAGTTGGGTATGGATACCCATTTATTCAAGGGTGTATTAATTACACATACAAAACTTATACCTATTTTGAGGTCTTATATGCCAAAAAAATAAATTTAGCTTATAAATCTAAATATCTATTAAGGTTAGCTAACCAACTATAATTTGCATAGTTGAGACTTAATTCCTTTTATGGTGATGTATTTAAGATGATAATTATTTATTTTTTATAGAAAATAGAAAATTATTTGTTTGATATGTATAATTGTTGAAATTTCCATGTATAATTGTTGAAATTTCTAACCCGAGTGAAAAAGAAAAATTCTAGAGAAGTAAAAGGAATACAAACTGGAGCTCGCTTAAAATTTAATGCCTTTAAATTCCACAGTGGAAAATGACAACTTTCTAATAAGTAATAACCTATATATATTTATTTTTAATTGGACTCGACATTGAGCTGAAAAAGTTAGTGGTTCATGGTTCAATTATTAATTCTCTAGACTGTTGGTCAGTCGTAGAGGCGGAGCCAGGATTTCGAGACCAGGTGGGCCGAAAATAAATTAATAAAAAATATTAATTATTTTAAAAGTACAACTGAAATAGGGACTTAGAATTAATTAAACTACATAAAAAGAGACAGCCTTGTGGATTGAACCCGTAAGCTTGATTTCCATTAGACCACATAGCTATTATGTGGTAAAATTTATGGAGAACACGTACTACTTGTAAAATTCGTACAAAATATCATTAACGTCGTAGGGGCCAGGACCAATCCGGGAGGGGGGGCGAGGCCCACCCTAGGGACAACGAAAATCTCATAAAATTTAGATACCAAAATATATTTGTCCAATGATTTTACTTTAAAATTAAATTTGGGGTATCTAAATGTAAAATGTACATTATAGTGACTAAGTTGTAATTTAATTAAATTTGGGATATCAAAATATAAAATGTACATTATAGTGATTAAGTTGTAATTTGATTAAATTTGTGGTATCAAAATATAATAGTTTAGGCAACAGTAAACTCACTTTAACTTTATATATTGACTTCTTTTCTTCATTCTAAGTAAAAAATTAACCAAGAGAGTCTGCACTAAAATAGCTATGCTTGTATTAAACGGATATTATAAATCACTAAATTGTACCCCGGCCTGATGGCCGGTTGCAATATGATGATACTAACTAACAAAGTTAAGAAGTTTAAATTTTAGTAACTCTATTTCTATTATATTTGTGCTAGGATTATATCTCTCTCTCTTCTCTCTTCTCTCTCTCTTCTCTCTTCTCTGACTGCTCGCTAGGGTTTCTGATGGCTGCCGTCACCGGCGGTGCCACCCCAGGGGCTGCCGGTGACGGTCGCACCTGGGCTTCTCTCTTCACTGTCAGTCCTGATTTTAAGCTCGACTATTATGAGCCCGAGTTTGTGAATGGGTCTCTTCGGATACCTAAATCGGTGATTGATGAGGGTGAAAAGCGATGGGTAAATAGCTTGGTTGGACAGTTCATGGATCGTCCGGCTTCCTTGTCTTCAATTCATTTCTGGGCGAATTGGATCTGGGGGCGAGACGGGATGGTGCGAGTGTCGTGGTTGGGGGATCGATTGGTGTTGTTTCAGTTTCCTAATGCTGAAGTCTGCCGCTGGGTATTTGAAGGTGGTCCATGGCATCACCGCGAGAACATGGTCCTGCTTAGGAAATGGGAGCCAGGTATCCAACCTCTAGCCATCGATAATTCTGTTGTTCCAGTCTGGGTTCGTCTATCGAATTTGCCATCTGAGTTAACATCAAAGGAGGGATTAGGGCGTCTAGCTACCTCTCTGGGACGGCCCCTCTGTATGGATTTTCCTACTAAGCAGGGGAGTAAGTATGGGGTAGCTAAGGTGTGTGTTGAGATCACTACCAGGACAAATATGATCAACAAACTGAGTGTTACTCCAAAAGGACGCCCTGAGATGCTGGTGGATGTGGAGTTTTGTCATGTGCCGCGGAAGTGTGAGAAGTGTAATGTATTTGGGCATGACTGTGAGAATATGGGAGGAAAGGTCAAACGTGTTTGGGTGGTGAAACAGCCAAGAGTACAGGATGTGGTTTCAATGAATTCGAAGGATAAGGAAAAAGTGGAAGAGGTGTTGGAAGTTGGGGCTGACTCTAATGTGCAAGCCTTGATTGTTGCAGAGTCTGTGATAGAGGAGCCTGTGTTGGTAATGGATGAAGGGTGTAGCTCTGAACCAGTGCCTGAGGATGATGGTTTTAAGGTTGTTACAGGGAGGAAGCACAGAGTTAGGGCTCCTGATCCTACGTCCAGTGCAAAGAGTCCATGGAATCTGTCTCCCAGTCAGAAGAAGGTTCAACTGGATGATAAAGCTTTCCCATCATTGAGCAAGCCAGTTTGGAGGATGAGTATTGAACCGCCACAGCCTGCTAAAGGTAGGGGGCGGGGTAAGAAGAAGAAATGAAGGTTTTCAGCTGGAACATCAGGGGCTTTAATGCTCCTGAGAAGCACTCTGCAGTGCTAAAGAAGATAAGTATACTCAAACTTGATATTATAGCTATTATAGAAACTAGAGTAAAGATAGAGAGTAGCCTGGATATAATTAGTAGACGTTTTGGTCATCTTAAACATATGAATAACTACCCCAAGTCTCCCAATGGTAGAATTTGGCTTTTTTGGCAAGATGGAATTTCTATTTCAAAGTTGGAAGATGGTCTGCATTTTATCAAAGTTCTTGTTGGAGGGGTAGAGCCGTTTGTTTTGCTGATTGTATATAGTCCTAACAATGAGGCTGATAGGTTGGGCTTATATAAAGAGTTGTTGGCACAGAATGAGAGCTTGATTCCTATGGTAGTCTTGGGTGACTTTAATGCTGTGAAGGATCCTGGTGAAACCTCGAATTTAGTATCATTAAATTCAAGCATGGGGGACTTCCAGAATTGGATTAAGGAGATGAGCTTGGAGGATCATAAGGTTGCAGGTAGTAAGTTTACATGGTGGAACAAACAGAAAGACAATCCAATAGCTAGACGTTTGGATAGAATCCTGGTCAATGAAGTTTGGTTGAGTAGTTTCCCAGTTAGTGTAGCCCAAACTACTCCCCCTGGAGTCTCGGACCACTGTGGTATTTTACTTACCACATCTCCCCCAATTGAAAGCTTGCCAAAACCGTTTAAATATTTCAATTTTGGGTGAGTCATCCTGACTATATGAAGTTGGTGGATGATGCTTGGAAGATGGAGGTAGAGGGTTGGTCTTACTATATATTCTATGGGAAATTAAGAAGTGTTAAGATGGCTCTGAAGAAGCTTAATAGAGAAGTTTACTCTGACATATCAGTGCAGGCAAGAGAAATGGAAGAACAGCTGGAAAAAGTTCAAGCTGAGTTGCTTCAGAATCCTACTGAGTTGCTTGTTGAAGAGGAAAGGGAACTGGCAAAGCACTGTCTTGAGCTAAAAAGGGCAGAAGAAAGTTTCTATAGGCAGAAAGCTAGAGTTCAGAGTGTGCATGAGGGTGATCTCAATACTGCTTATTTTCATAAGGCTGTGAAGGTACAGAATCACAGAAAGCAGATTTCAAGAATTCTTGATGAGCAGGGGAGAGAAGTTACAGATATCAAGGGTATAGGGGAAGTGGCAGTGAAATTCTATAAAAAACTAATTGGAACAGTCAATCCGGATGTGCAATTGCAACCTACCAGCTTTTATGAACATTTGCAATTGAAGTGCCTTACTTCAGAAGTGGCTGATACAATGATTGTTCCTGTGACACGAGCAGAGATCAAGGATGTTTTTTCCATTTGGGGAGGAACAAAGCCCCTGGTCTAGATGGGTTCCCCTCTGAATTCTTCATGCTCCACTGGGATTTAGTTGGTACTCTTATGGAGGATGTTGCTCTCCAGTTCTTCAGATCATGGATTATGCCTCGAGCAGTCAACTCTACCTTATTCACTTTAGTGGCAAAAGTTGCAAATGCAGAGCAAATGAAGGACTTTCGTCCAATCTCTTGCTGCAATACCTTGTATAAGGTATATCAAAGGTGTTATCTAACAGGTTAGCTGCTGTCCTACCATTGCTTATTTCTTCTTCCCAATCTGCTTTTATTAAGGGGCGCTCTATTAGTGATAACATACTATTAGCAGCAGAATTGGTTAAAGACTACCATAGGAAGAATGTAACTCCTCGATGTGCAATCAAGATTGATATCATGAAAGCTTTTGACTCGGTTAATTGGGTGTTTTTGTTCTCTGTGCTTAAAGTTATGGGTCTCCCTGTCCAGTTCATTGCTTGGCTAAGAGCTTGTATTCAGAATCCCAGAATTAGTGTTAGTTTGAATGGGAGGATATGTGGTTCTTTTGACATGGCAAAGGGTCTAAGGCAAGGGAATCCACTGTCCCCTTACCTATTCACAGTGGCTATGGAGGTTTTAGATGCATTGTTAAAGAGAGCAGCAGTGCAGAATCAGATTCCCTATCACCCTAGATGTAAGCCTCTGTCTATTACACATCTGTGTTTTGCAGATGACCTACTTGTTTTCACTAATGGCTCGATCAGGGGGGTTGCTGGGATTTGTAGAGTGTTGGATGTTTTCTACTCTGTGTCTGGACTGAAGTGTAATCCTGATAAATGCCAAATGTTCTGTGGGGGTATTCCAGAAGAAGAAAAGCAAAGAATATCTGCTTACTCAAAGTTTCCAAATAGTCTATTACCAGTTCGTTACCTTGGGGTGCCTTTGATTACTGGGAAGCTTACTAAGACAGAATGCAAGGAGTTGATTGAGAGAATTACAGGGAAAATTAATAGTTGGAGAGCAAAATTTCTTAGTTTTGCAGGTAGGTTGCAGTTGATTACCTCAGTGCTTACAAGTGTATTACAATTTTGGATGGGGATATTTCTGTTACCAAAGTATGTGATAAAAGAGGTGGAGGCTATATGTAGCAGGTTTCTTTGGGATATCAATGATACCTCGCTCAGGAAGAGAGCAGTGGTGGCTTGGCAATTCATTGCTAGACCAAAAAAAGAAGGGGGCTTGGGTATAAAGGACTTCTCCATCTGGAACAAAGCCTGTGTTTGCAGGCATTTTTGGGCAATTCTGGCAGCAGAAGGTTCTTTATGGGTTGCATGGGTTACACGCTATAGGGTGAAGCAAACATCTATCTGGGATCTGTAAGCCACAACAGCAGGGACTTGGGTCTGGAAAAGGTTACTAAAATGTAGGAATGAGATGAGGCCATTTATCTCTGAGTCTGGCTCTGAGTTGCAGTGGTGTGAAAAAGCTATGCCAACTTACTCTGTTTCGAGGGTGTGGGAGTCGTTGAGGCAGAAGGAGGCTGAGGTTAGATGGTATAAGATTGTGTGGGATAATCATATCATCCCTAGACATGGGTTCATTTTATGGTTGGTGATTAATGATAGATTGAAACTGCAGAATAAACTGATAGCATGGGGTAAGCCACTAACTGGACATTGTCTGTTGTGTCCTGGAGGAATGGAAGATCGAGATCACTTATTCATGGGCTGCTCTTATTATCAGTATTTGAGTTGCAAAATTTTGAAAGAGAATTCGCCTCCTGTGCTTGGGGGCTGGAATGCTGTGTTGGAGTGGTGTATTACAAAGTGGACGAGTGATTCCCCAGTTCATTCTTTGAATAGAATGAGCTGGAGTGTACTTGTTAGTCTTGTTTGGCGAGAGAGGTGCTCAAGGTTATATGGCTCTGTGGCAGCAAAAAGTCCTTCTCAGCTTTTGGTTGATGCAAGGAGAATCCTTTGGAGTCGTTGTTTGTTGAACCAATGCCTAGTTGATAGCTTTGAAGCGAGGGGACTTGGGGTAGATGGTTAGCAACTTAGGCTTGTTTTGTTTTTCAGTTATTAAGTGTCTCTGTGAGGTTATGATGTACAGGATTGTTAGTATTCTGAGGGCTCCATAGCGCGTTTTGCTATTGGTGTCGGTTCTTAATGCAATTTTGATTTAACCATAAAAAAACAAATAATGATATCAATTTTACCAAATAGCAAGCTAGTTTATTTGTTTTTACTGTTAAGAAATTCAAATTATCTAATTCTTGGAAAATAGAAAATGTGCATGGAGCATACAAATTAATAAAAGAATTTGCCTCATTGTAGTTGCAAAACAATGGGTATCACCTCTTAATCAACAATCTTCATCATCAACTCCACTACATTCATCATCCATATGTGCTTCACAACTACGGAATTTGTCTCATTTCACCAATGATTATGGAATTTGCTATCTAATCACCAAACTTTATGTGGAAAATTTTCTCTTTAAAAAAAATACTTCGTTACTTCATTTAATAAGACATGAGGGAGATGAGGTATCATTCTTCCACTATTTTTAATAGCATTTCAACAAAAATTCTAAGAAATCTTGACTTCTTGATGATCCAAGACAACAAACTCATATTTGGTAGTATTCACAACTCGATGGATCCTAAACATGAGAATGTTAGTAATTGATTGGGTAGTATATCCTTGATTAAAATTGGATCCTAAATATGAAAATGCTAATGCTGGAGATTCATTGTTTAGAAGAGTAATATAACTTTTAGTGAGGATGATTTTCAAATTGGCGAATTTATTTTCACAACACATCTCTTCTACTCGAATTGAAATTTAGAAATTTAATAGAACCAAATGATCTTAAAATCAAAAGTATACATGTAAAATGGGTTTGCCACGTGTTAGGACATCCATAGATGATTTGAGCTTCATAAACATTTTTTTTTAAATCTATAATTGTTTGTTTTCTGAGTAACTTGAATTTTCTCAAATGTGTAAAAATATTTATTCACTTATTACCATCTGAAACCCCTAGAGGTTCAAACTAACCACCAACATAATAGAACACCATAACTATTGTTAATTAACTCAATGTGGTAACATCACTAAATAAAAATTAATATTTCAAACGGCTCATATATGTTCATCAATTGCCAGCAATATACGCCACACTCCACCGAAACCATTATTGAAAGAAGTAAGCTTTAGGAAGAACCGGATAGGTGGAGAATAAGGAACTCAGAAAGCAAAGCAACAATCAGAAGGAGAAAATAATATTGGAAAACACAACAGGTGTAGTGTAATTATAATAATATCTATAACAATAATTCCCCCCCTACCCCACCCTTCATGGAACCGAAAAAATTAAAGCCCTGCTTTCCATGGCCAATACGATTAAAAGCCACCTTTTCATGGCCATGTCCAAAGCAGTCAAAATCGAGATTTTGATAGTAAAATCATAGGATATTTAGTGATTCCGATCCTGATTTTACTATAAAATCGGTGGACCTTAAAATCGTATGAGAATACAATAGGTTGTTTGAGCGAATTTTAAAAAAGTGGAACTGCTTTAGCGAAAAGGGCAATGATGGGGATATTATCAAATATTTTTCCTATTAAAAAATATTTGAAAAAAACCAAACGATGGCTCGGTCATTCTCTTTCCCTTAACCCTATTGAACTCATCGGTAAAATATTTTTCCTAATATTGTATGTGCAGAAGAATTAATATCATTATTAAATAATTAAGTGATTAATAAATATATTTTTATCAAGCCCCTAGCATTAATTATTCGATTGGAGTTCATATATTCTTAATCATGATTAGCAGACAGTATTAAAATTAACCGGACCGGAGTACTACTTTGAGTTAAACTACCTAGACACAACATGAAAAACAAGAGCCAAACCCCATGAGCTCTATCATTTCCTCATGAATTATTATTTGAGTTACGCATTAAATAACAAGTAAAATGATGATCTTGGAACATTAATCTTGAGAATTATCATTTTAAATGTTATGTGTCTTTGTGTTAGTAATGCTTTACCTTATTAATGTGATTATATGTTAGTTTCTATATGGAACTTAAAATCCTACAATTTTACGATTCCGATTTTATCCTAATTTTCGAATTTAGATAAAATCCCGATTTTGACTGCCCATGTCAATTAAAATATTGTATTTATTTAATTGTCCCTCCGCCCTCTACGCGGAAGTCAGAGAAATTGCAATTGAAAGAGTTCTAAAGGAGAACCTCCATATAGGTCTCGTATATTTTCCTTATAAAATACTTCTCAATTTTTTCGATGATAGCACTTGTATATTTTCCTTATGAGAATATTTATCAACTTGGTAAACAATAACATTTCTCTTGCATATTTTTAGCCAAACAAATCATTGAATTAAAAGTTAAAAACAGCTCATGTGCTTTCAGAAATAGGATTATAACTTGCCTTGATTACTTCCAAAGGTTATCACATTTTTGCCCTTAATTTGGAAAATATTGAATCGTTCAACTCATTCCTCTATTATTTTGTACACCCTATTTCAAGTAAAAAAGTAAAAACAAACCCTTATTATCTTCTTTATAATTACGGGGGAGCACGTGCCGTCACCGTTCAACTTAACTTACAGCACTTTCACACCGTTACGCTTATCCTCACAGCCCAGAGTGGCACGCCGTAATTTGTTGCCAACCACCGGCCCACTCTTACAACTACCGCAAAAGAAGACAGTAATGTGATAGTTAATAAAACCAAAAAGGAAAAATAAAAATGCCAAAATAACCAGAAGAAAAAAAAAATTGAAAAGAAAAGAAAAAAGAGAAGCCCATTAACTAGCTTGCTGCCGTTAGCTGTTCTGCTTTGTTTTTGCTTTCCTCCACGCCAGCTCAGCTCAGTCTGAACTCGCTCAGCCGGAAAATAAGAACAAAAAAACGGAAAACCAAACAACAAATCCCTCATCAGACGGCAGATTCGGCCAGCCTCCACGTGTCAAGATCGCGTTGGTCTATCCCGATTATAAATAACCCTCGTCCCCCCTTCACCGTTTCCACAAACGCCCGTCCAACGGAAATCCCTCCGGAATTAGAGAAAAATGGCATAGATTTTTAGTTAAAAGGCGCCCACTAGCAGCAGCGTCAGCGTCGTAGGTCTGTCAGTGGCTGCTGCGCGTGCGCGGTGGAGAAAGAGAGAGAGAGAGGGAAGGAGAAGTAGTGATGGCTGAGAGAGTCACTTTGCGGTCTCGAATTCGCTTGGTGCAGGTCGGGAACTGATTGCTTCTGTCCTGATTGCCGACGACATCTGATTAGGTGCGGCAATTTTCCGCTGCGGCGGCGGAAGGGGACGATTAGATCCCGCCTTGCATCAACTGAATCGGAGGCCGCAGTGATTTTTTTTTTATGGAGATGTCGGCTCGGAAGGTGGAAAAAAAATTGCATGGCGGTAAGGTTTGGGGATTGGATTGGATTTGATTGCGTCTACTTTAATTCTTACCTGCAGATCTCTTTCAGGTATCTTGGTTTAGTTTTCATCTGATGTCATCTGCTCTTGTGTCAGATTCGGTTTCGGTGTGTGGTAAGGAAGAAATCTAATCCTGCGATGTTGATAGATCTTCTGGGTTTCAGTTAGATTGGAGAATTAATTCATTGAGTTTTTTTTATATAGATCTTTCGGAACTGTGTTTTGATTCGATTCTTTAGCGGTCTTGATTTTGTCCGGCGATTGATCTGGATTATCAGGGAAGATTGGATGAATGAGTTGTATAAATAGCTGACTAGATGAGCCATTTCCATTTCTTTCCCCCCTGCTTTGTGCTGTGTTAATTTTTAGCTTGCGGGTGCTTTGATAATGGCGTGTATATTGGCAGTGAAATCAATTTGTTTCTGATGAAGGTTTGATGACTTGTCTTGTAAGTTTTGTGCGATTCTAACTGCTTGCGCGCAAGGTTTGATGTGATCAAGCTCTGCCTGAAATGTGTTTAATTGCTCCGTGTCGATGATTGATTGTTATCGTATCGATTTGCGATCGAATTTTTAATTTCCTTTGGTTGATAGAACAGCTCAATAACCTTCCTTTTTTACCTCAGTTTCATTGAAAGAAGATTCCTTTGGACTTTAGAGGCTCTTTAGGAAAGAGCATTGATTTGTTTTTTGCTAGGTTAAGAACATTCATTTGTTGAGAGTCCTGGTCTAACATGGAGAATTAAATATGAACTGTAAATTGCTTGTCACCTGATATCTGCCATTGTTCTGTCCAAATTTACGCCAATTATTTTGCGGCTTGGGTCCAATCCAGCTAAATAGTGATAGATATATCTAGAAAAATTAGACATTTGGTGCTAGGCTTTAGTGCAGTGGTATTGGGAAAGAATGCTTTGTGTGTTGCGTGGCTAAGGTAGATGTGTAAGTAACAGGAACAAGAGTATGCCAACTCTTCCCTAGAGTTGTATTCTTAGACTGCTTAGAGTTTAGAGAATGTGGTAAACCATTGCGAGAGAACTGAGTCTTGTATTACCAAGTCACTGTTGTTTTAGCTTCGTTCTACTTCCTTTTTTTTTTGTGTGTGTGTGTGTTAAAGATTGCTACTTGGTTCTCTACTGCGCCCCTGAGTATGCTGCAGTTACCCTGAGTTCATGTAGATTTATAGAAATATGATTTACCATTCAATATTGATAACTAATATTTTAAGGAAACTAATTAATGTTTCCGTAATGGCTTTTCAAGTAAATTATTACAGTTTTCATAGTGGTCGCCTTTCAAGTTTCAAGGTCTCTCTTAACAGCCAGACAGGGGCTTGTTAGACAGTACACATAGATCAGTGGTGCATACACTTGAGTTTTCGCACGACGAACCAGGCGTTCCTGCTTTGCGTGTGCAGTTAGTGTGCTCCGGTTCTTACTTCACAAGGAAAAATGGTTGTGACAATTTTGGAACTTCTTTTGCTGGCTTCTTACAAAAGTATGGTGGGTGTATGCATCTACTCTCAGTGCCTGATTTTTCATGTGACAATTTCGGCTTTCTGTGCTCTACAATGAGTCCGAATGCGTGTTGTGCAGTAAGGAATTGGAAAGAATGCACAACAGTAGTAGTCAGGTCGAACTATCTCTTCCAGAAATGCTTATGTAGTTATGTATGGTGCCCTGCTCTAATTATTTTTGGGACATGAAGTTTGGAATGTATCCATTAGTTATATATACATATCTTTTGTATATTACTTTCTATTTCCATCCTCCTCAATTGGGTTTCTTTCTACCCAAATGGGCTCTGGTTTTGTTTGTGACAGCTGATCCGCTAGTTTTGCTCCAGAATTCATGCTCTATTCCATTCCCCAATAATTATCCTCATCTCTGTTCTCTAGTTACTTCCCTCTTCTGGATGGGTAGGGCATCTTTTTGTTGTTGAATTTGAGCATCAAAATCCCACATAGAAAGGAAAAGTCATAGTCAGGGCATGGTTGTCAAGATGCCGCCCCCTTCCATTGTCTTTTGCCCAAATTGCCAAGCATCTTTCTTTCCTTTCCCTTTTGTCCTCTGCTTTTATAGTATCTCATTTTAGGAGCTAGCTCCCAATTGTCAATTATCGTTCACCCGGCCATATTATTATCTATGATCACCATTGTTCGTTCTGCTTTTCCCATGATTATCCTCATCTCTAGTACTAACTTCTATCAAACAAAGATGATGTGGGAGTTCTGGGGATATAGACTTTGGGGACGAAACTTGTCTTAACAGCTTTTGCAATGCAGGAGAGGTGATTAGAGAGGTAGACAGAAAATCGATTGTAGTTCCATGCTTGCTGAAAACATTCATCATCTTCTGCTTGGAAAGGTGGAGACCAGGCCACGGAGCATCTTCCGATCTGATCGAGCAGGAGCCTTTGAGCGGCATCATTCCCACTCTTAGCAGGTGAATGTAAGAACCTATTTGTTACTTGACCCTTGTATTATTAATGTAGAAGAATTGGAGCTTTTCTTGGATGGAGGAATTCCCTAAAACCGGGCTTAATGGGGGAATTGTGCTGTAATTGCCTGATTTGGTAGGGGAAAGCGATTTGCTAGCAACTGCTACAACTGGTGATCCGAGAGAGTCTGAGAGAGAGAAGGTATCGGTGGCTTGGGAGCTTGTGATTGGTCACATTTTGTCTTTCCCTTTCCTTGGTGATTGGCAAAGCATTGAGTTGTGAGACTAGGCAGGGATTGCTACTTTTCGTGGCAGTCCAATGTAGAAGCATTTGTAAATGTGACGCGGAAAGGGAAGGTAACGGCAGACATGAATGATGCATATTGTGGCTTTTCTTGATGAGTGTGGACAAGATTGAGTTTAAGGCCAAAGAGCAACTATAAAAGGGTATGTTAGTGAGCAATTTTTCTTTGCATCATTGAGGTGGAATGAAGTTATGAATATTTAAAACTAGGGTTGTTGGAGGAGAAAAAAGAGGCATATGGTAACTACTTCGGTGCACTCACAAAAATGAGTGCGTTCAATGCACCCAACTAAAAAATTAGTCTTAAGGTGTCGGATTTTGAATTTTAATTTGTAGAATTAGTGTAATATGATGATATAACATATGATAACAACTAATTAGCGGATACCCCAAGCCCTAAACCTCCAATTTTGAGTTCTATCCGTAAACCCCAAATTGTAAACCCTAACCCTAAATCTCTAAACTCTAAATCCTTCAAATTAAAGTAAATCTTTAATGGGTTTTGTGCAAATTCATGTGTGTTATTGTTCATCACATCATAAGTGATGATTGACATTATTTTGACACAAATCGCATGTTTAAAATAACGATTATGAAACGAGTGCACTGAATGCACCCAAAAAAGTGAGTGCACCCGAATACGCCACTATATATATTACATAATTAGAAAAAAACCACACTTTCCCGACAAGAATCAAATAAAATAACATTGGGTGGGTGGGTTGGTGGGTATGTTGGACGGCGTTATTCCCAGGCCAGGCCCGGCGCATGATTGAGATTTGAGTCCCCCCGAAGACAATGCCTACTACTACTACTACTTTTTTCTTCTTCTCTCATTTGGCTTGGCGAGTCAACAACTTACACTGTGAAATCAAGACCCCTTTTCCTACATTAATAGGGCGGAAATCAGGTTTCAGCTTAATCGAAGGAGATCTTATATATCATGCAAACCCCAGTTGATTCCTGTGCCAGCCAGTCTAGTGAAGAACAGAACAGAACAGAACAGAGCATCCCCAAGTCCCAACGGTGGAAGACAAAGTCGAGAGAATCTGGTTAGCAGCACACTCGCACTCAGTTATATCAATGGTGGGTCATGGTTTGGTCACAGGACGATCGAGTATTCTACATTACTGTCACAGCTCACAATACTGTCAGCAGTATCACAGTCTTTTCATTTATTAGAATATAACTCTCTATTCTTATTATTACTTATTATTATTGTCCTTTCTTCAACACATTCCTTTGTCCTCTCTTCTTCTTTTTCATTTTTTCTCTGCCTCTGAATAAATGATAATGAATGATTCCCTAATTCCTGCTCCCACCCACATGATGCTCCTCTTGAACGCAGCTGAGAGACATGAGCATGCCCCTCTTTCCAGTTTCCACCCACCTTGTTTGATTTGTCAGAGGTCGGCACCAGAAAATTGTAAGCTAGTGGTTATGATGAGAATATGGCTAGGGGCATGTACCTCAATATTAATGTCGCGCTCGCAAATTATAGGTTAGGTTGGGTAAGACTCGTGTGGGTAGAGGTCCGGTAGCAAGTCGATCCATTTACTATTATATTATTTGAAGAAAAAAAAATAAATAAAGGAAATGAGTTCATTATGAAAAATGGAGATAATAGGTAGAATAGTTGAAGTGTTGAACCCAATTAATTGAAAGATAAAATTTAGCACATATATAAAGTATCATTGAGTTAAATATATGAGTTAAAATAAGTCAAAATAAAAGAAATATCGCTATAGGACAGGTCAAGAACGGGAAGGGATGGGACGGCATAGATTGGATGTAACACCCATGCATTCATGTCCGGCCCCACACTACTGCAGGTCTAGTATTATCGGTCCCAATATAGATCAGATCGAATAATACCCGATAAATTCTAATTGTCATCACTCCGGCCCAGTTCAGTCTCCTAAGGTGAGAAGATTCATCTTGTGCGGTTGGATCAGCTCCAATGGCCCAATAGCTCCTTCCTTCTCTGGCCTAGTTGTGGGCACGGGCGGCTTACTTCGGCTCTCATTTTCTGCCATTTACAGCCCAATTACCTCTCTCCCCGTTTCGGCCCTTTTTACTTTCCAGCCCAGCTTTGGCCGGGCCATAAAGGGTGTTTGGCTGGTGGATCGTTGCCCCAATGGCCAATTCATCAGCGGGTTGGTTGATTTACTAAAAATGGCTTGTTTGGCTGGTTGTTGCTGATGGTGACGAATTGTGGGTTAAGAAAACTTTTAGACAACTTTCATAACTTGGTATATAGTAGGGGTGGTTAATTTGTGGATTGATATCGATTCATCCGTAAATAATCCGACCCGCTCGCAATGGGTGATTGATGTGGTTGGATTGCGGATTGATAAATTTTTCACCCGCACTTATGTGGGTGGGTGGTGGGTGGATTGCGAGTCACCCGTATGACCCGCATCCTATTTTTAAATGAAAAAATGTTGTTCTTATAGTATCGAATATTCAACATATTTTCGAACGACATTACAGTCTGACCATATACTTCAAAAGGTGGAGAATAAAGAATAAATTTGACTACTATTATTGTTTTTGTGTTGTGCATGCAATATCTATTAGATATTGGATATTGGTATGCAAATTATTGTTAATATCAATTAAATATTTGAATGCAAACTATAAATTATTAATCGTATCAAAATAACAGATTATTGACACAGTCTTACTAATTTGCTATGAACTTATTATATAAATGCTAGTCAACTTTCTTAATAGCTAGTTGAAGAATTGTTTTTGCAGGTTGACCCACGACCCAACCGCCACCCACTCAACCCAACTCGCAGAGATATGTGGGTGGATTACGGGTCATATGATGGGTTTATGAGTCTTGGGCCACATCATGAAATCCATGCAGAGGGAGAGTTCCACGTCATGATGGGTTTATGACCCATGCAGAGGAGTCACATCAGAATGGGCTTACGGCCCATGAGGAGGAAGGAGTCCATGTAGAGGAGGGTGATCATTCACGTGGCTAGGAGTAGCTCAAGCTTTGCCGCGTCAGACTGTTGCTACTAGAGAATCTCGGCTTAGATTATTATTAGTCATGCAGGTCGGTGTTGCTGCAGTTGGTCTTCCCTTTGGGATTTGTTTTTTGATTTGTTTTGCTTAGGATTAGTAGAGATACGATCGTGTGATCGTCTAGGATTAGGGTCATTGGGAGATTACCTTTGGTGATCTACCAAATCGTAGGAGATGCGGGAGTTGGTTGATTGTAACCCGATCTCAGGTCTAGGTTATCAGTTCTCTATATAAGGACTGAAATGAATAAGAAGCAGCATCAGAATTATTAAGCCGAAACACAACTTTTAAACTGGCTGGTTCCGGCCGTAAGCGGAACGCAATCACTCCGATAATTGAACGATACCAACATTTGGTATCAGAGCCAATGGGCCCCAAACCCACCGCTGCCGACAAGGAGAGGATGGACTCGATAGAGGCCAACCTGGAAACTCTCCAAACCACTGTCCAAGCAGCCCTCCACGATGATGCTCGTCGGGTGGAAGGGAACGTTGCTGAACTTGGCGGCAGACTTCATGCTTTAGAAGCCAATTCGGCAGCTACCTAGGCTAGCGTGGATGAGATCCTCCATCTACTCCACCAAGGTCGGCGCACGCCAGCCACGGAAGCCGATCGGTCCTCAGCGGCCTCAAGCCCACAATTTCGATGTGATGAGAGGCGAGATGAACGTCGTGATGATCCACGTGAACACAGAGAAGAACGCCGAGAGCCGATGGGGCGTTATGAGCGCCAAGAAGAGCCATATCAGCCTCAACGTCTATTATTTCCGGGCCGATTTACTAAACTGGAGCTCCCTAGGTTTGCTGGAAACGACCCTACTTAATGGTTTACGAGAGTTGACCAATTCTTCCAGAATATCGACGAGGACCAGAAGGTACCGCTGGCCTCCTACCATTTGGAAGGAGAGGCCAACCAATGGTGGCGTTGGTTACAAAAATCTTATGCACAAGAGGGCATTCACGTTACTTGGGAGCTTTTTTCGACGGAACTCTGGTCCCGATTTGGGCCAGCTGACGAGGATGAGGGCGGCGAAGCTCTCACTTGCATCAAACAAACTGGTTCCCTCCAAGATTAGCAACGGGAATTTGAGAGGCTTGGAAATAAAGTCAATGGCTGGACACAAAAAGCACTTGTCGGAGCTTTCATGGGGGGACTTCGACCGGAGGTTTCAGAAACTCTGAGATTATTCCGACCCGATTGACTGAAAGATGCCATTCGTTTGGCAAGGATCTGAGACGATCAACTAGCCCGAACAAACACTCAAGGATGCTCGACTACCCGAACTCCTCATGAACCTCCTAATCGTCTGACGGCCGAGTCCTCAGCTCGAAGCAAGCCACCGACAGGAAAAAGATTAAATTGGGAAGAACAACAAAGGAGACGTGCAGCCGGGTTATGTTTTAACTGTGATGAAAAGTTCGTTCCGGGCCACCGCTGCAAAGGAGCGGTATTCTTAATGGGAGCTGAGACTAATGAAGATACACTAGACGATCAGGAGGATGAAGCTATTGAAATATCATTTCACGCTATAAGTGGTCTCGCATCGGGACACACCATGCGCCTATGGGACTTAATCGAATCCAGTCGGGTGTTAGTGTTAGTGGATAGTGGGTCAACCCATAATTTCGTCGCAACGAGGGTAGCAGATCGCCTTCAATTACCTGTAACTGCCATTCGCAGCTTCGATGTGAAGATTGCCAATGGGGAGCCCCTCACCTGCAAGTCTCGGCATGATAGCGTAGCGCTCACCATGCAAGGGCTGCTATTTCCAATCGAGTTGTACGCTATCGATGTTGTCGGCGTTGGCGTGATGCTAGGGACGCAGTGGCTAGCAACGTTAGGTAATATTGTTTGCAACTGGCGGGAGCTTACTATGGAATTTGAATGGGAAGGGGCATCACAAAAGCTCATTGGCATCAGCCCTTCACTCCATGCTGCCAAATCCTTGCGGAGTCTCCTTAAAAATGTTCCAAGTAATGCCATGAGGGCTGTGTGCATTTTCACCTCCACCGACGAGGCTCTTCAACAAGTTCCGGAAGCATTCCAGGACCTCCTCCGCGAGTATATATATGGTGATTTGTTCGACGAGCCGAATACATTACCACCCCCAAGAGCCATCAGCCATTGTATACAACTCAAAGAAGGGACCGACGCTGTCAATGTC